ATTTACCCTGGTACTTGAAGGTTGGGAACACAAGATCTGTCCTTTCTGAAAGGCTCTGGCCTCACAGGATCATCATGGTTGGAAAGGACCTCTGGGATCACTGAGTCAAACAACTCACAAAACAAAACAAACCCCAGACTAACAACAAACACCCACGTAAAACCCCACAACCTGGGCCACTAGAGCATGTCCTGAAGTGCCACATCTACACATTTCTTGAATTCATCCAAGGATGGTGACTCCACCACCTCCCTGAGCAGCCTGTTCCAGTGCCTGACCACTCCTTCCCTGTAGAAATTCTTCCTAATATCCAGTTTAACCCTCCCCTGGCCCAACTTCAGGCCATTTCCTCTGGTCCTGTCCTTATTTATTTGGGAGAAGAGGCCAACACTCCCCACCCCTACAACCTCCTTTCAGGTACTTGTAGAGGACAATGATGTTTCCCTTCATCCTCCTTTTCTCCAAACTAAACATCCTCAGTCACCTCAGCTGCTCCTTGTATCACTTGCTGTCTAGACCCTTCCCCAACTTGGTGGCTCTTCTCTGTACACACTCCAGCACCTCCAAGTGTAACTGATACTTGATTCCTCTGAACACACCTGCCACCACCACCAGAACTGACTCAGCTTCAGCAGCTGGTGGCTGGGATGCAGCTCTGAAGCATGAAGCTCTGAACCACGAAGCCTTCACACTGGAGCAGTGTGAGTGTGGCCTGCAGGCTGGGAAGAGGTGTAAGAGGGTGCTTCTTCACAATAAGACTGGACAGAGCAGCTTTCAAGTTCTTGCTAACTGGTCACACAGTCCTCCCATGGAGCCAAAAGCACAAGGAGAAGGGAGATGCTGGTAAGACAGCCCATCTTCAGCTTCTGGGAGGAACTAGCTAAAAAAGAATTATTTGGAGGACCAAGATGGCAGTAACAGACAGAAGAGCTCATGGCAGAAAGACTTCTGCAGAGCACAGGAGTCACTGCAACTAACTTAAGCTGTCACACTAAACTGTTCAACTTGCTTCCTCTAACCAAAGAGAGCAGGTGTCCCAAGGGGATGTCTCATCTTGTCTCAAGAAACTTCTGCAGCATCTTGTGGTTCCTTCAACTACCAGTCAACATACTCACCTGGCTAACTGCAAGAGTAATGAGTAAATAGATGCTGAAATTTTTAACCCCTGGTACTTTTCAACTGCCTTGCTAAAGTGTCCCCCTCAACAGCAATTTTTGGATAATAAACCCACCAGGCTGTGAGGAAAGCTCACATCTCAGCCCCCCCGAGAGCTGTGCACGGGGGTTTCAGACACTCAACTGACAGAGCAAACACAGGCAAACAAATTATTTGTTTTCCTTACTTGGCTTCCTGCTCAAGCTGTTCTTCTAGCTGCACAATCTTGGCTTCTAGAGTAGATATTGTTGCCTTGAACTTGGACTTCACAGACCCCTCCAGCTCCTGCAGCTTGGCTTTCAGCTCCTTGTTCTGCCTCTCCAGCTGCTGCCGTGCATTCTCGCTCTTCTGGGCAGCGCTTCGCTCCCCCGCCAGCTCCGAGTTCAGCGTGTCCACCTGCCAGGAGGAGAGCAGGGGATCACCTGGTGCTGTTCAGAGCCTCCACTTGGCTGCACACTGAAGCACCAGCTGCCCCTGCAGCACGGCCAGAGGGGTCACCTGCAGCGTGGTCTTCCGGAACCGCTCGTTGAGGAGCTCCATGTTGCTCTGCTCCTCCTCCAGCTCCTCCTCCAGCTGCGCGATCCGAGCCTCCAGCCGGCGCTTCTCGTCCAGCAGAGCTGACCTAGAAAGGGAGTATCTGGGTCAAGACACGGTCAGATCTCATGCAAAGCTACTGGCCAGTTTACTTCTGATACTTCAGGCACTGCAAATTGCCACGAGAAGCTACTGCGTCTGCAC